GAAAGTAACTAGAGATCACTCAATATTTATTGAGAAATTGAAAAATGTTCTTAATACAGTCGGAAGGGATAGGAAATTCTTTGCGAACATCAGTGTTTTCTATTTCAGCGATGCCGTGAATTACTATTGACTGATCACTTTAGTTTCATCGCAACAAGCATGACTATTATTAACAGAATGGCAGTCAGAAGACCTATTAAAACTGGATAACAAAGTTCTTGAGCTTCCGTATCAATAGAAAAAGGACGTCAGTGCTCTCAACGAGGCTGTTGGCTCTGTCGCTAGATCCGATTTTGGAAAAGCAGTGGTATTTACAAAAGTTCCTGCAAAAGTTATGCCAAGGAAAGTGCTGTCATCAATGATTTCTTGAAGCCACAACCAAGGTGTTAAATCACTTTATTACCTCAGCCTGCAAAACTTTGGAGGCCTTTTGGATACGCGCTAAAGGTCCAAAAATGAACAAGAAAGACGAGTGTCTCGCCATTACAAACGAGCTCGCCCCGTTCGTTGACCTGTGTCGCCATCGGCTTCAGGTCGAGGGGCTGGGTCATCTGAAGCCACACACAGTTAGTCAGTTTAGCGGTGGTCCTCTACAAAACCTACCGTATGGTCTAAGGTGAGTTCTTGTGTTTCGGATTTGCGATACCTTCCTAGATGCGCTGATCTACGAACTATTTCTAAGTTTGAAATGATTTATGAGGATTGAATCACTGATCTTCAACTTCCAGGCTCTGACGAAGGCGACTAGCCGAAACGTAAGCCCAATAAAGTGATTTAACACCTTGGTTGTGGCTTCAAGAAATCACTGAAGACAAGGACACACAAGCATGCCACACACACCATGCCAAGGTTCATGGACAGTCGAACATGGAGTATCATGAGAAAGTGCTGTCAGTTATCCAGGGCTAGGATGTGAGCACATGCCTTCGACGAAGATGTCTGTCAGGTTTAGTCGCAACGAAATACTTGAGCTCGTAACCAAGTGGCGTAATAGTTCATCCGTAACACTGGATAGCATTCCTTTCACATTCATTAAAAGATCGCCGAAAACATTTCATGACCACTAGAGCTCCTCTTTGACCTAATGCTCTTTCAAGGAACTGCCGCACAATTGGCGCCACGCTTATCTCCTCACAGTGATCCTAAGAATTTAGACCAATAGGCATAACCTCTGTGTTTCGCAAGCTCTTTGAGAAGATACTCAAAAAAGCCATTGTTTGCTTTTTAGAATCCAGTCGTGTACTTTCTGCTCACCAGCATGGGTTTCGAGAGAACAAGTCAACTGTTTCACTAAGGTTGGAATCAACAAATAAATAATCAATCAATAAATGACTGGATCATGACGTTCGATGGAAACAACTTAGCTG